GTCGCGGCCGACGATGTTGTGCAGCGAGAAGACATCCTGAACCATTGAGACTCGAGGGATGCGAGACCCTAAAAGATGGAATTTCGTGGGTCAAAGAGAGTGCGCGAGCATTTTGAGGTCCGCTGGCCGTGTAGTTAGCGGCGACCACCGTCTGGATTTCGACCTGCCAAGAACGGGGCTGTGTAAATGTCACTCTTCTCGAAACCGCCCGTCTTTGACTAAAATGCCGCACAACACGTCATATGCCAGCCTCTCCGATGGACTTGGATTTATGGTAGGTTGAAGCTCCATGTTGATATCCGGATCATTGCAGATCAATGCTGCCGACTGTGCGACGAGGGGCGAGTGCCGCGTGTCGCTCTTGCCCTGTCACATGTCACCCACTGAAAACTGTCTACAGGGCTGAAAGTGCAGTGTGCGCGGTGGGAGCGAAGGCGACTGCCATCAAAAAGCAGTGTCTCCGAGCGCTAGATGACAGTGAGAAGTTTGGAAGCGCCGTCGGAACAGGAACCGCCAGACAGAATAGGTTAACAGGTGCGGAATGATTGCTGCGAAGAAGACGACAGAAGATGGCGGATAGAACGTCCCGTATAGTAGAGCATGTGCCATGTTGTACATATGCCACGGCAAGCTACAACCCAACAAGCAAGTGCGTGAAAGCTTATTCAAAAAGCACGATGCTTGGCAATGCTTCACGTGTATCCGCTCCACCCGTGGAATCCAAGGGCGTTGTCAATGTCACCCACCGATTGCCAAATGGCACTACCAGGATTGCTGAACGGAGCAACGCGCACCGACATCCGCTAGCGGGGTGCTTTCGTTTTCTGAAGGCGTGTCTGCGAGCTCCTCGGAACCAATGTCCAAGGAAACCATCGCCAACCACTTCACGCAGTTCCACGTAACGCAATGGAAGATTCTGCATGGTTAAATTCCAGGCATCCCCTGAAATTCGGCCGTGATTGGTCTTAGGGTCTATGGGGTTAGACCTTTCGAGAGATATAGCGTTGCCGGAGTTGGGGTAGTCTGTGCGAAAATGGCTCATCGACTGTGCAGCAAAGTCACGCTCACCGTTGAGAATCTTTGAACGGAAGCACGATGGATGATGCTACGAACATGTTCAATCCGTGTTCTCAAGAGGTGGTAATGCCGAATGTAGGGCGCTTCGTGCTGGTAACATGTAGGCAAGGTGAAGCAGTATGCTACGCTTCTCCTCACGTGGGGCGCGTGGGATGGATGCGAGTATGTAGGCGGGGCGTGTACCACATCTACGAATTCAGGATCATGTAGACGGGACCCAACCGTGGGAACTTGGACCGATCATGTGCGCTCCTCACCGTTCAAATACACACTGGACGCCTAGGCGTCTGGACCGCCCCTTACCTATGCTGCGAACTACCAGCTTATATTGTCCATGGAGCGACATACAGGGGCGCTCGCTTGCACTGTGGGTGATGGTTGTCGCTTGTCGAGAGACAACGATCGCACTCGGCTATACGGCAGCTGACAGCATACACGCTGCTGCTGCATTGGTTAGGCAGCTACTGCACATGGGTACTGGGTAGTTGAAGAAGTCGCATCGCGACCGCAATCTCTGAGAGTGTCAGCAACACACGAGTGATGTGACTTCCATCCCAAACGCGCGATGTCGGTAGCAATATCGAATGTCAGTGGCACTACCAGCTTTACGAGTTTGAAAGGCGCAATCGCATTCGAGACATGCATTAGATGAAGGCTGCGGATACTGACCGCAGAGGCAACTGGCGCGTGGACGGCGCATTCGACATGAACCTACTGAGTCAACCTGTTGGTGACGGAGCGGAATCACGAATCGCTTTTTGCCAAGCTTCGGAAGTTGCCTTCGGAGCTTCCGTCACGCGTCATCTTGTGCTACCAACACTAACGCGCGCGGCGCGGACACATCACGCGTCAGCTCGGCTCGGCCCATCGCATGTCGTGAAGATTGAACGGGTATTATTTCTAGTCTCCTATCTACTTCCAAAATCCTCATCTTCGCAGTGGCCGACTTACTCGATCGCGATCTTCACCGAAATGGAACCCTTGGTCGTTTGCGCAACGATCAAGTCGTGGTCGTACGAAATGTCATCCTTCACGGTGTCCACGAGCTTCGCCCTCGGAAGAACATTGAGGCACATGTACGCGCCCATGATGTACAGCTCACAGTACGCCAGTTGCTCACCAATGCAGCTGCGGCTTCCCTTTCCGAACGCAATGAGCTTCTTCTGGAGCGCATAGTTTTGCGATCCATCTTCCAACAGCCATCGCTCGGGAAGGAACTCGTCAGGGTCGGGGAAAAGCTCCCTGTTCCAGTGGTTGATCATGGATGTCATACCGATAGGTGTACCCCTTGGAATCACCCAGTCAGACTTGCCATCAGCGGATACATAGTGCAGGTCCTCCTGGCGCGCGATTCTGGCAGATCGATGAGACACGCCGGGCATCATACGCAAACACTCTTGCAGAACAGCCCAGAAATAAGGCACCTTCTCCAGCTCAACCCACTTCACAGTCTGTGTGTTGATACCAGCGGTAGCGAGATCAGCCATCAGTCTCTGGTAAATCTCCGGCTTTGCGAGATTCCAGTATGTGAACACAGTAAGAATAGCCTGCGATTGCTGTTAGCTCTGGCTCGTCGTTGATGGCATTCATCGGGTACTTACAGCAGTAGTCTCGGTACCAGCAAGCAAGAAGTTGAAGCCTTCACCGTTGTAGCGGAACTTCTCCTCCTCTGACATGGTCTTGTTCTTGCCCATGACCTCAGCGAAAACACGTCCATTCTCGGGGTTCTTCAAAGCCTGGCCAATGTACTGAGGAATGGTCACGTTCATGACGCGCATGACAGCCTTAATATCTTCACCAAGGTAATCGGCCATGAATGGCAGGACCTGAGCCATCTTTCGGCCCAACGCGTTGTGACGCATCATATACGCACTCTTGAAGAACGACTTGACCCAGGTTGCGAAGTTCGGCTCCCAACCTTCCTGTGCAACAAAGCCCATGGGCTCACCGAATGCGTACTGAGAGATGACATCGGCAGTGTAGCAGTTGAACGCTTCCTTGACATCGAAAGCGGTCTTGCCGGCATAAGTGAGCATCTTGTCTGCCGTCATTACGGCAAATTCATGCACTTCGCCTTCGAGCTTCAACATCTGTTGGCGAGAAAAGAACTTGCTCAATGGAGCCTTGCGGGCACGGTGGAGGTCATGGTCGACAGTCGAAAATCCAGTTACCGAAACAGGTCCGGCTCCTCCAGTGTTCAATTGATGCTGCCACTTGTCGCGTGGGCGTCCAGGACCGGCATAGATCTCATCCGTGAAGGCAGGGTCGGAGCAGTGTAGTTCGTCTGGGTTTATGCGTACGATGGGTCCATATTGCTCATGCATGCGGGCGATGACTTTTCCATAGCGTCCTCCGAGCCACCAGTCGTGGTACGCTTCGTACAGGTAGGTGGCAGCTGCGATCTTCGGGCCAGGGAATTTCGCGAGTGGATGGAAGGGCGAAATGTTGTATAATGCAATGGCAATTCTATAGCCGACCCAGAGTAGGACGAGCCAAGCCACCATCGCGAGGGAGAAAACTGACTTGGAGCCCTGGGAAAGGCCCGAATGGTCGTCCATGTTGGGGAGGTTTGGCAGTTTGGCGAGACACAACTGCACAAAGGGGAGAACGTGATTGCATGGCGATGTTTCAGCGAGGGCAATGGTATATACCGCAATGGTGTCTCTAGGCGACTGATAGCTCAACAGGGTCGATCCCTTCTCCTTCCAATCGCTGGGTTTTGCAGTGCATCCGCACCTGGCGATAAAACGAGCATCGCATGTGCAGCGCCGAAGATGCCCCGTATCGACTCCACTAGGTTTTCATTCAGCGATCGACCATTGGTGCTCCAAGACCCTGGAGGATCATAGCGCCACGTGGAAAGGAAGTTAACACGCTCAAGTGGAGATGCGCGCTGTCCACAGCGGGAATACTGTCTCTTTTAGTTAAGCTGGTTTGGGCTCAAAACTCTTCACTATCAGACCCATGAGGATAAGAAGGGGTACAACTTCGCCGATGTATGCGCACAGATGGCGCATTTAGGTCTAGGTACCCGAGGATCTGGGATAGGGCTGTCGAGAAGATCGGGGAGCCTGCATTCTTCTATCTGTTTTCGAGAATTTGGTCGCCAGGCCTCCTGCCTCAGGCCGAATACGAGTCAGGCCAGTCATGAACCCTGACAACACGTGTGGAGCCGAACATGAGGTCTCCTGCTTATCCCCTGCTTATTCATGCAGCCAATGACCCTCGAGTCGGAAAGTTGCGGCGTGCCGCCTGTCATAACGGCAAGCGGATGAGGCGCCCGGCAGTGGCCCTTGGCGTGGTGGGTCAATACCTGGCCTAGACTGTTTCACCGTCGGCGACTCTCCGCCGGCACGTTACCAAATCTTTTCAAGCCTCAAGTCAGTATCTTCGTTACGACTCACGCTGCATGATTGCTCGAGATTGATGGCGCTTCATTACGATCGTCACCTCGCGTAGGTCAACATTGCTGCATGCGTATCCGGGGAACGCGAACGCACATCCGCAGGGAATAGTTCAGGTGTTCGGCCAACGTTTGTGGTAATGATCCTTACGATCTCCACTGTTGAACGTTGACAGGCAAGGAACTGTTTTCGGTCCGCCGGGCTAGGCCCGCTAACCCAACGGGTATGCCATCATTACGAAAGCCAAAACAGTTTTGACGAAGACAGGAGACGGGAGACATGGATCAGGTTTTAACAATACACTCTTGCCCCGACTCATCGCCCCGACTTCATCTCTTCGTTCTTTCCTTTTCTCCAGTTCTCACGACAGGACCCACTCTTTTAGTACTCCGTTCATTACTTTGCATCTCTCCGGACTTCGAGTGATAGCTTTGGATCGGGGTCTTGCCTCCGCAGGTCAGGATGGTGGAAACAATCGATATAGCGATGGCCCGGAGCGGTCGCGACTCCATGATAGCGATGTCATGTCTGTGGCTGCTCTTCGCCTCAACTGTTGCTCTTCGGTTCTATGGACGCATGCGTGGACCTGGACTCGCACTGGATGACATCTTCGCCGGTGTTGCGCTGCTCTTGTCGACAAGTACTATCGGCCTGAATGCCTACGGTATGCATCAACCTCGTGGATAGGCAGAACTCATATTAACATCCAAGCAGTCTTCACGATTGGCGTTGGTTACGACCTAGATCCTACCTCTGACAAATTTCCCAAGCGTAAGTCTGCTCTGGCGGCTATTACATCCGGTGGAGATGTTGAACTAACCACCTAATAGTGATGAACAACCTCCCGGTCGTCATGCAGATAACCTTTTCCTTCACTTTGATCTACATCTGGTGTCTTGCGGCTCTCAAGCTATCTCAACTAGCCCTCTACCACCGCGTCTTCCAACTGCAACTGCGCCTTGCAGTCTACATTACTGCCGGCATAGTCATTGCATGGGCTGTCATCTTCAACTTCGTCTTTATCTTCCTCTGCGACCCCATCTCCCAACAATGGACCCTTCAACGAGTTGGACACTGCATGGATCAGATCTTGTTGCTCAAGTGTCTGATTCTGACAAACATGGCGACCGATCTCATGATCGTAGTCATCCCAATCCATTGTGTATGGCAGTTGCAGATGCGAAAGACGGAAAAGTTTGCCGTCTTGGCTTGTTTCGGTCTAGGTCTCGCTTGCGTGGTTATCAGTATTGCGCGTTTCGTTCTCATCTTCACCGTCGGTAAGTACTCTCGATCTGACGAGAAAGAGAAACACGACTGATAGTTTGCAGATCTCATTAACAACCTCACTGGTACATCGGGTACCACATTCATGCTTTGCACCGTCGAGCTCATGCTTGCTGGTCTCTGTATCAACATTCCCATGTTGCGCCCCTTCTATCTCCAGTGGCGCAAAACGTACAAGAGCCAATCAGGAAGCCACAACCTCAGTGCGATCAAGCGGTCGAACACTGGTGGACTGGGGTCGCACCAGCAACCAAGGCCTGGGCACTACACCCAGTGGATGGAGTTGGTAAGTCTGATTCAATATCATGCGACACAGAAGACAAGACTAATCAGATGCAGCACGACAAGGATCAAACAAACATCACCGTCACAGGCGACGATGCCAGCTCGGAACGAAAACTCACCGCGCCAGAGCCACTGCCTTTCGACGCGATACAAATAACCAAGGATTTCAAGATCAACCGAACCTAAGCCGAGAGTCGCCTCAGCATCGCCGTACCCGTATCAAGATAGGCAGTTGGGTCCCGACGCGATCATGTGAAAGAAGAAGCGTGTTCTCAAAAGAGTCAGCGGTATGCCCCCGTGGCCCCGTAGCGGCATTCACACTCGCCCGTTGCGGCGTCGGTGATAGCCACTACGCAGCTGCCCAGAGCCACGTCGAAAAACGTTGCAAGGAAAAGTTTTAGGACCTGGCAATTCCACCGCGCAAGGAGAATGGGACCATCCAGCGGCAACCCAGATGGCAGCACATGTACAATATAATGATATGAAGTCAAGTAATGCAAGAGACGAGAACAAAAGTCGTAAACATCGCTTCGTAGATGGCTAAGACAATATATCATACCGTGAACATCCCGCGACATCGCATCGTTCGTCTCTTTCCGCGCCCCATGCTGATCGCAGGGTCTCGCCCACGATAATGCACGATGTGTAGATCAATTCGCGCGGAGTTCTCACCGACAATCAAGACCCATCAGCAGTTCGCGCATCACGCACGGTTTATACGTTCGCCACCCACATTTCAAACGGCCCGCTGCGAGGATGCGCTGTCGATTACAAAATCTTGAAATACGACCTCCCCACTCCCCTCCGCGAATATACCGATAATCGGTCCTACGAAATCTTTGTCGCTCAGGTTCATTGTGGGTACTTGGGCGAACTCCTTGGGCTCTCCACTGTCGGCGCGGTATGATAGCTTGTATTCGGTCTCTGAATATTCGAATGTGAGCTCCAGAGACTGGGGTGCGACGTCTAGTTCGGTGCTTTCTTCGCGATCAATGCTTTTTGCCTTGTTCAAGACGTGGAGTTGAATGGAAGGGGGAGAGCCATTGTTCGAGGTCATGTAAGACAAGGAGAGGAAGCGATGTTCGTCTTTGTATACCGCCAGTCCTGCACTGTTTGGTGTAGAGCTGGATGCGGGAGGTAGAAGGGTGACGCTGCTTCTTCCCTTCAGCTGACGTTGACGTTTACCAACGAATGACGGTGATGCATTAGCAGACTTCAGACCGTCTGGAGAAGCGGTGAGCGTGAACTGCCGATCGCTGATCTTGTAGCGCGACAGCTCGGGATCGTGGATATAGAGGAAGTCAACGCCAGGTGCGGCTGTAAGTCTCCTCGATGGATCCGGCACAACACTCAAGTTCTCGATGTTCATCTTCGCGCGATCGAAACTGAGCCAGCCGTCATCACTCCACGTCCCTCTTGTAAGGAATGTTTCGCGGCCGAGCCCATATAGATTGGGTGCGCCCATTCTGATCCCAAGACAAATACCCCACCATTGCCCTTCTTTGTCTTCGAAGGCCTCGCAATGACCTGTGGCTTGTACGTACTCGTTGGTTCCAGCAGCGCTCAATATGGGGTTCTTGGGCGATGCCTCCCATGGGCCTTCGAGACTCTTGCTTCGCGCCATGGTGACGCTGTGCCCCTCATGCGTACCTCCCTCCGCAATCATCAAGTAGTAGAACCCATCTCGGGAGTAGATATGCGGGCCCTCAGGGTAGATGCCACCGGTGCCATGCCACAGTTGTTTCTCCTCGCTCAATTTCTTTCCAGTCTTGACGTCGATTTCGAAGAGCGTGATCTTGGTTTCCGGACCCGGAGACTTGGAACCGCAGAGATACGCCTTCCCGGTGTTTGGGTCAAAGAACAGACTGGGGTCGATGCCGTAGAAGTCGAAGTAGACGGGGTCACTCCATTTACTGGCATGGATGTCTGTAGTGGAGATGATGAAGTTCTGCAGCGTACTCTCCTTGCCCTCTTCTCCATCATTCACCACGTTCGTGCACACGATGTAGAAGGTGCCATCATGAAACCGTATCGTTGGTGCGTAGAGACCGCCTGTTGCGTAAAGGTGGTCCTCGTTGTCAAGACCGTGGATCAAGGTAGAGGACTTGGAGAAGCTCGGTTGCTCTCGTCGGTTGATAGCATTGCCGATCTGGTGCCAGTGAATGAGATCCTGTGATGTATAGATTGGCAGACCAGGGAACAAATGGAACGTTGAGTTGACGAGGAAGTATGTGCCATCGACGAGGACCAGCGAGGGGTCTGGAGCAAAGCCTCCAACGATAGGATTGGTTGCCGGAGTGTCTTCCATGTTGGTGGTGGCGCTACTCCAGAATATGCTCTGAGATACGAACCAAGTTATCTACCCAGGAAGAAGGATCATAGACTATTCTTGGTGCGCGCAAAGGCGTATAATGTGCTGGTAGTCCTAGGGTTGGCACAACGATGTTATGCCCGCCGGATAAATGCGCACGATGGTCGCGTGAATGATCCTTGGCCCTACTGCGCCATCTCTTGTCGGTAACATGTCACGCTTCCGTCTAAGAGTGCAGGTAACAAGCCTTGGAATGCGGAATTTCTTCTACGAAGGTATCTAGTGGTCTGTATAAGCGTTGGTAGAAGGATCTACTTACCAAGGTACTTTCGACATTTCTAGGGGGGTTTGTGTGCTTGAAGACTCATCAGTGTGTCGTGAACATGATCGACATGTCGCAGTGAAAGGGTCCAGGACCCAGGTGGAAGGAACGACCCCGGGACAAATGAAACTCGATTGTGAGGTGTGGCAATTCCCGAAGCTGTGGTGTCTAAACGCGCTCTTGGTAGCTTTGGTAGTCGCGCAAGCCACGAAGTGTCTGGGAGTTTGCTGGGCTGTCATCTGATCCGAGGTGAGGATCCAATCAGAACACCGTCTACTAACTGCGTTGGGTGTAGCGACCGAGAACAGCCCCACATTCCGAGCGTTGGCAACAAGACACCGGCAATACAGGGCGGCAATACTCATTGTCTCACGTCCAACCTCATTCAAAAGGCTTGATAAGGTTCATCTTTAGCCGGTACAACCCCATGGGGTTGCTCGCACGACTAGTTGGTTTCCCCGCATTCGACTAAGGGCTTAGTGGCATGCCTCCAGACTGGTTCACTTCGGCCTCATTCCACGATGCCTAGAACTATCAAGACCGCAGCGCCTTGGTGGCGCGAGGCATAACAACACAAAACGAGAAATGAGTGCTTGACTGCGGGACAAGGTAAGGCAAATATGCGCATTCACCCTGCTTGGCTTCATCCCGAACCCAATTTTGGCTATTGAAGCGTGCCCGGGAAGATGGGTGAGATCTGAGTAGCTGGGATGGCATGTATCGAAGATGATGTACGTGGCACGGTGTTGAGGGTATATATGCAACAGTGACCCATGCAGCTCATGGCTTCTTCTTGCAGCGGCAGCTCCATTGTCTTTCTTCGCAACAGCAACATCTCCAGGGCTACCTTTCAAGATGGTATCCTTCCGCCCACCCAAGACCACGCAGAGCGCTGTGCCCCTCAAACCGCCGAAAGGGCACTTCTTCTTCGCTGGCCGTGCCTATCCAAGAGTCGCATGGTGGAAGCGAGCCAACCTCCGCAGACTCTACATCTACATTGTCGTTCTCATCTTAACCAACACCGCCAATGGCTTCGACGGATCCATGATGAATGGTCTTCAGTCTCTGACTTACTGGCAAGACTACTTCGGCGAGCCTCGCGGGGCTATGCTCGGCTTCTTCAACTCATCCATGTCCCTCGGCTCACTCATCGGTCTCTTCTTCACTCCCTACCTCATTGATTGGAAGGGTAGGAAGATCGGTGTGGCGATTGGCTGCGTTATCATGTTGATCGCCGTTGCCATCCAGACTGGAGCGCAGAACATCGGCATGTTCATTGCTGCCAGACTCATCTTGGGTTTCGGAGACACTATCGTTCTTGGATCCGCGCCGTTGTTGATCGCAGAGATTGCTCATCCACAGGATCGTGCTATCTTGGTCACTCTTTCTGGTGCGAGCTACCACTCTGGCGCCTTCATCGCATCTTGGGTGACATACGGAACACTTCAGCTAAAGGTATGTTGACTCCTTACCCTCTGCATTGCTCTGTCTCCCCTTGAAGGACATGTCATCCTAACAACGCACAGAGCGACTGGTCATGGCGACTCCCATCTCTTCTGCAGTCGATCTGCTCCCTTATCATCCTCGGCTTCATCTTCTTCATGCCCGAGTCCCCACGTTGGCTATGCAACAAAGACCGCCATGAAGAAGCCCTCGCCATGTTCGCCCGCTGGCACGGCGAAGGAAATGCTGACGACGAGTTTGTTCAACTCGAATACGCCGAAGTGCGCGCTGCCATTGCCCTCGACAGAGAGCACAACCGAACCAGCTGGTCCGACTTCCTGAAGACCAAAGGCAACCGCAAGAGGATCATTATCATCACTGCTATTGGTTTCTTCAGTCAATGGAGTGGCAACGGTCTGATCTCGTATTACCTAAAGTATGTCATGGACAACGTTGGTCTCACGGATCCCCAGACGCAACTGGGAATCAATGGCGGCATGAAGACCTTGGCGCTGTGCGAGAACTTCCTCTTTGCCTTCTTGGTTGACAAACTTGGTCGACGTCCGATCTATCTCATCTCCACGATCGGAACGTTCGTCATGTTCAACATCTTCACGATCATCTCTGCCCGGTACGACATCGAGCCTCGGGCCCCTCTCGGCAAAGGCTTCATCGTTAGTATAGTAAGTTTTACCTGCCAGTCTTCCACCCTTGGGCCGACCGAGAACGCTATGCTGACCTTGACATGCAGTTCTTCTACGGTATCTTCTACGACATCAAGTCCGGTATCATGGCTGGATACACTACTGAGATCCTGCCATATGGTCTTCGTGCCAAGGGATTCACATGGCTCAACTTCTGCGTTACAGCAGCTCTCTTCTTCAACCAGTTCGTCAACGGCATTGCGCTCGATGCACTCGCATGGAAGTACTACATCTGCTACTGCGTCTTCCTCGCTTTTGAGATCGGCGTCATCTACTTCTGCATTGTGGAAACCAGGTACACGCCCATGGAGGAAATCGCCAAGTTCTTCGATGGCGACGATGCTGTTGATGTTGGCGAGGCTGCGTTGATGGACGTCAAGGAGCAGGGTATTGCGCGTGGAGAGAA